AGAGAGAGAGAGAGAGAGAGAGAGAGAGAGAGAGAGAGAGAGAGAGAGAGAGAGAGAGAGAGAGAGAGAGAGAGAGAGAGAGAGGAACACAGACATTGTATAAGATGGCGCAGGAAGGTTGCTCTGGAGGTGGAGAAGGAAAGCAGGTGGGCGACGATGGAGAGCCTCTCTTCACAGTGTCTGAGTTCCTTGAAGAGCTCGAAGAAAAAGAGAAGGTATTTTCTGATGATCCATGAACACCTCTTGGGACACCTTTTTCCTGTTTTTTTGTTCTATTGAAGTCTTCGATTTTTCTCTCTTCACAAAGTATGGCTGCTGTTTAATCTTGTATTGTTTGTCCTTTTCTGCTCTTTGAAAAGAAGTGAGTTGTCCCAAATGGGAACGATGCCTGAAAGTGCAACTCCTTCGTTACTAATAATAAGTTGTAGTCATATCGAGGCTCCACCTCTACCTCCACCTGCTTGGGCAACCCTTGCACTTCTAAAAGGACCGAGAGGATAATGATGACAACAACAAGAAGATGACGACGCGGATCATGGTAATGATCGGTGAAGATGATGAGGATGATGATGAGAATGAGGATGAGGATGAGGAGGATGAGGATGAGGAAAGAAGGAAAAAGAGGAAAGAAGAACCACAGAGAAGAGGAAGATCAGTGACCTCTGCACTTTAGAAACTGCAGATCTCTGTACTCGCAAATTGCAGACACACCTGCAAGAGAACGCGAAGCTGGATCTGCGAGGAAGAGGAGTAGCAGAAGAAGAAGAAGAAGAAGAAGAAGAAGAAGAAGAAAAAGAAGAAGAACAAAGGACGAAGAAGGAGAAAGGGGGAGGAGGGATAGGAAGAAGAAGAAGAAGAATAGTGGAAAACAGTGGCCAACTGCCTTTCGTACACGCTTTGAATATCCTTCAATACAAAGCCGCGCATACTCATCTCAGCAAACGCGCACATTCCCCGGCGCGTTTCGATTGGCTGAGCTCCGATCTTCCCCAGGGGGCTTTCCACATAACCCTGGCCTTGTGGCCCGCCGACGATCCTCCCTAAGAAGAAGAAGAAGAAGAATACTGAATAGTGAAAACAGTGACCAACTGCCTTTCGTACACGCTTCGAAAGCTCTTTAATACATAGCCGTGCATACTCATCTCAGCTCACGCGCACATTCCCCGACGCGTTTCGATCGGTTGCTCTCCGATCCTCCTCAGGGGGCTAACCTCTTGACCCTGCCTTGCGGCCCGCCGACAATCCTCCCGTCTTACTGAGTATAGAGGACCAATACGGCCTTGTCCTCCTATATACTGTCCATCGAGTTGTAAGCCTAGCCAGCATGGTACTCCCGTCCCAACGGGCACTTCCAGGAGCGACTACGGCTACGACAGGCTCTGTCGCATAGACGTTATGCCGAACTCCGTTATGATCCGTTACGTGTCGGCCCCTCATTGGGCTACAGATAGTTAGTCCACGTAAGTTTCCAGTAGTCGACACAATGCCTATCCCTTCAGGCACCACACATAGGATGTGGCGGCGCTTCGCGCCTTGTGGGTTCGAGTCCCGCTAGCCGTACAGGCCAGCTTTCACCGCATGTTTCACGTGTGGATAGTACTATGCATAGGCTAGGGGCTCTTTTCCGCAGATATTCCTTCCAACGTTCGCTTCCCACAATCGATCTTCCAACTCTGATTCTATTGGCTCAATTCGTGCAGCATGGATCGCAGCCTCTACTCTTACTACGTGGCTCACCCAGTCAGTTACACGCAAGCTGCGCGTGACCTGTACAATTTCAAAATCCAACATGCAGCCAAATTTCCCCGCTCTTTGCGAATTAGGCGGGCGCAGCCCGGTAACACCGTGTCGTAGCGTGCCAACCAGTCATGTATTTCAAAAAATACCTATAGGAGATAAACTACGAAAGTCCTTATTATTCCGAGCCTGCAAATTTCTATAAAGTCCCTATTGCATCTCAATTTCGACCAGTTTCAAAGCGGCCATTTATATGTATTTACTATTTTCTATTTCTACGGTAGTAACCGCCTCGTGAAAAATTCAATTTCTACGCAAGAATTATTTACGCAGATCATATTTCCACACAAATAATTATTTCTCCGCAAAATGTCTTAATTCTACACTAAAACTCCCCACCAAAACATGGCTATTCCGTAAAATACGGTCCTTATTCAAGGCCGCATCTGCCTCGAAGATTTCCAGCCACGTGCTGCTACCCCATTGTACCAGGTTCTCAGGTAGCCTCAACCATGGCTTCTTGAGAACGCTGGTGCCCTTTGCAAACGTGGTAGAAGAAGAAGAAGAAGAAGAAGAAGAAGAAGAAGAAGAAGAAGAAGAAAGGACGAAGAAGGAGAAAGGGGGAGGAGGGAGAGGAGGAGGAGGAAGAAGAAGAAGAAGAAGAAGAAGAA